CTCTCTCTCTCTCTCTCTCTCACACACACACACACACACACACACACACACAGAGTTTGCTAGGATTGCAAGGTTGTCATGATTAAAGTGGACCACGTTTCTCAGGGATGGTATTGCTAACTCTGGGCGATGTGGTGAGTCCTTATCCATCAGACGAATGCATCCTGGGCACACTGTCTGTCCAGGTTCAACCTCCTGATGAGTCGGTGAAAGTCCGACGAAACAGTCTGTTCGGCACTGTCATGCTTTATGTTAGTGTATAGCGAATATGACAAAGACACAGATAAAACTGTTTCATTGTTGGAACTTCTCAACTCAACCCAAATGCGCTTTGTCGTCTGCAATAGGCCTAAAGAAAGCTGCTTCAATTATGGGTCTATTCGTCCAGGTGGATTAGGGGCTGTTCTTGTGAAAATCCAAAGTACGTACACGTATCACTGTTCCCCTCGAAGGCCTGAATATATCACCACAGGTCCGTAGGGCATTTTTTTTATCTCAAATGCTATGAACTGCATAGGCAGTGTTCCAGTGTTACGTTCTGCATACTTAGGCAGTGTGACGGAAATGATGTCGACAGGTTCGAGTTTGTGTGGATGCCTGTGACTGTGAGTAGGCAGGGCCCCACGGGCAGTGGTAGGTGAAAAAAACTCAACACATAGATGATGGAAACGCTAGTAGACAGAATGGCAGCCGGGTAGAGATCGACAGTAAACATGACAATAAAAAATGAAAAATTGAAAATTGGCTATTATTGCTGCATTGCAGGTATTGCATCATCATCTGCAGCAAGGAAAGATATACAGGGAAAAAAAAAAAAAAAAAAAAAAAAAAGATTGTTGGGGGTTTTATTCAGGAAGCCACAATTGGAGGCTGTGGGAGGGACTATGGAAAAGAACTCGGTCTCTCCCGGACGCGTATCCCTCTCCTAGAGTGTGCCTCTATATGGCCATCGGGTCTCCCTACGCCTCGTCCGTCTATGGGATGGCAGCCTGTCTCTTTGTTTGCCCAGTTCTCGCCGTGCCTGCTCCACACGTTCTCGCTCTCACTCTCGTTCTTGTTCTTGTTGCTAATATTCCCTTGCTCCACCCATCAACCTTTTCTTTTCTTTTCTTTTTTGACCAAGCGTGATTTTTCTGTTGATATAGAGATGAAACAATGCATGTGTTTCCAAAAGGCGAGAGCAAAAGAACAACAGGCTGCAGAGGGGTTGGCGGCTACAAACATTCAGTGCCATTTCATCCGACGCAAAATGGAAATGTAATGGCCTGGTGCGGGTGGAGGGCATGCACAGTCAAGACAGCAAAGACACACACACACGCACATACACACACACACACAGAGAGAGAGAGAGAGAGAGAGAGAGAGAGAGAGAGAGAGAGAGAGAGAAAGAAAGAAGGGGGGGGAGGAGAGGAGGGGGGAACTAGCTAGGAGACCGTTTCTTTCTTGACTCCCAATCTTATCTGAGTCCCCAAGTCTGGTGACCTGTGTACATCCATTTACGAAAGCTTCAACTGTACGACCTACCTGCTCTTTTTTTTTTTTTTAGCGCAGGCAGGGAAAAAAAAAAAAAAAAAAAAAAAAAAAAAAACAATATTACTAAGCTTCCTTGCTTAGAAATGATTTGTTCACTACCATCTGTACTCTGTTGTTTCTCTGCTCCTTGCTTTCAAACAGAGCACAACCCAAGTAAGCAATCCCATAGCTTGCTGCTGTGTCTCACGGCTTCCGAAGTCCACAGCATTCCGTGCCTTTTTCAAGTAGTCGCAGCGCAAAAGGCAAAAGGGATTCAACTTGCAGTCAGTGGAGAGGGTTGTGTGTGTATGAAGGGGAAGATTGGAGAGAAGAAGAGGGAGAGAGGAGGGGGGTGCGGGGGGATGGGGGGAAGATGAGACGAACAAATTGTTTTGTCTCTTCTCAGGTTCCAAAGGTCCACAAGAGTCTACCATGGGAGCTCTGAAACGGATGGCCGATGGAAACATCCAGGAGCCACACACTTTTTACGACAAGGGGGGAAGATTGGAGAGAAGAGGAGGGGAGGAGCCAGGGAGGGGGGATTTGGGGGGGGGGGGGGGGAGGAGGGGAGGAGGGAGAAGAAGAAAAGAAAAGACTTTCTATTTCAAAGTTTCAAACCTTCTTTGTTGACAAGTCTTTGTTGACAAGCGCTCTCAAAACTGACAAAATCGCCCCTCTCTCCCCACCCCCCTCTTCACCCCTCTCCCCCCTCCCCTCCCCCCCTCTCCCTTAAATGTACAAAATTTACAAAGTCCTACATCAAGTTCTGTCTGGGATTGCCAACGAACCTTTTCTAAGCCTATGAAACTGCCTCCTTTTTCCACTCTATAGCTATGCTTCTCTCTCTCTCTCTCTCTCTCTCTCTCTCTCTCTCTCTCTCTCTCTCTCTCTCTCTCTCTCTCTCCCTTCTGTGCATACAGGAAGAAATTTTCTCTATAAAACTCAGAACACGCGTCTTAGACGAGCTGGACGTGGGAACTGTGTTCACACACACAGGGAGGCGAAATGAACTTGTAATTCAAACGCACAGTCGAGCTGAAATTTCAAATTAGCCACCTTGAAATTAAAATTCGCCAGCTTGAAATTAAAATGCACCAAGGCCAAGGAAATAGGAGGGAAAGCGAAATCCAAAAAAACAACGAAAGAAAGAAAAGACGAAAAGAAGTTAAGACCCACATCTGTGCACACACCACCTCGCTCTCTGTCTAAATTTCTCCCAAAATGGACCAAAAGCTTCTTTTTTTTTTCCCCCCGCTTTGCAATCCCGATTTCTACCCCGATGGCCAACGAACACAAACCGATTAATTTCGTACACCAACACCAGCACTACCTAAATTTCTCCCAAAAAGAGGACCGAAAGCATGTTTTTTGTCTTTTGTGAAGTTTTGTCTCTAACTTCCTCGATAAGTAGTGTAAGAGAAGGGAGACAAGAGCAACGGGATATGGAAATGCTCCTTGGTCTGAGAGGGCTTGATGTCAAATGTCACAGAGATGAAGGGGTAGAAACAAGACCTCTTGTCGTCCCTTTCGCCCCGCGCTTTCATCTCTTCACCACTTCTGGGCGTGACGGAGGAGCCCTTTGTAGATTCTCCAGATGCAAGGGTTGTTCCTCCTGGCCGTCCGATTGCCGATCCTCCATCCATATAGTATACACCAGTCTCGAACGTTAGCCTGTACCTACCCGGAGCAATGTAATCCGATGGGTCCATGAGAGGTCCTGACCTACCATCATTGTCAGTGGCTGACATACCAATGGTCTCCCACCAGCCTGCAGACAGCCCCCCCGACGCATCAACACCCACTCCGACTGCCCTACCATCCATCGACGGGCTTGTTGTCGCAGCGCCACCCGCCGCTGTTGCAGCAAAATTTCCTGCCCATGGCCTTCTCCCATCGCCAATCTGCTTCGGAGTTACCCCTTCTTCGCTGCTTGGCCTCCACACATCCAGTTTGACGCCGACTCCCCGTGCTGGCGACCCCACTGCAACATCCAAAATATGTGTGGTTATCGGCGACCTCAGCGCCTGCACCGCCTGATTGAAACTTGGATACGATGCCGTCACCACTGTCGGCGTTGCAGCCGGGTGCGATTGGATTTCCGCGGCTGCTAAATGCGCTTCTATGTGTCCCATTCGCCGACAGACTGGCGACCCAAGCGGGTTGGGGGTGGGGGTGGGGGTGCGGGTGGGGGCGAGGGTTGGCTTCTCGTGCGCAGACCCACAAAGCGCTGGTGGGTTGTCTGGTGGGGCAGCAGCCAACCTTGCAGCCAAGCCATTGCCTTGAAGAAGTCGGTTTAGTCTTAGGGTGGTAATTTTGTGCTGCTCGGACGCCGCAAGCTGAAGCTCGTCGATTGGCCGGTTGGGATACCGACTCTGGATCGCTGCCAAAACCTCCGCAGTCGATTTTCCTGATGCGAAGATGAGAAAGACGTGGCCAAATTTCTCATCATACCGCTTGTTCCAGGCCGCCAATTCCTCGGTGAGGCGTGGGTCGGTCGAGCTTCGAGCCGCAGACTGCTCGATCTCGCTCCAGCTTTCCGCCGCCAAAGCAGACGATGAAACAACCCTGCCGCCGCTGGAGCCGCTGGACGGCCGCCGCTGATCCCCTCCGATCCTCGGATGGGCGGCAAAGGCTTCCAGCCAGCCGTTGATGTCCACCTCGTTGAACCAGATGTCCGACGCTGTCGACATCATTTCCGTCACACTGCCGAAGGGTCGTGCATCAGCCATTCGCCGAGCAAAGCGCACGCTGCCACAGCAATGCAAAAATGCCTCCTCCGCCGCTACACCGTCCACGGCATTCAGCCATCCCAACCCAGTCCTGACTTGATCATCCATTTGCATTCCCCCCCCGCCTCCCCCCCCTCTCCCTAACTACGTAACCCACCCGCCCCGCCGGCCACCAAGCTCTGCTGCTGCTCCTTCTCTGCCTCGTATCTCGTTACCTTCCGCAGACTATGAGGAGGATGGAGGTCCCTGGAGATTCAGATGCTGCCGAGCTATCTTCTCTCCTTGTCGTTCCCGGTTTCGGTTTGTTCCACCCACTGTCACAGCGAGAGGAAGGAAAAGAAGAAGGATCGGTGCAGAGTCGCAGACACTCGGCAACAATATTCTCACTGCGAGAAGTTTAGTAGTTACTCAAGAAATAAGAAAAAGAAGAGAAAGAAAAATGTCGACTCAGAGGGAAAGAAAAGCAATGTAAACAGAAAAATGCAAAAAGACTCAAGTAACAAGCCATTCGTGAAAAGTAGACATTTCGTGAAAATTGGACTTAGTAAAAAACTACAAGATCAATTTTCAAAAAAGTTGAAAAAACTATAATTTTTTCATTTCTGAAACCCATGTTCCATTTGCAATCACCAAGTTTTTTGAGAAAACTAGTGTTTTGGAAATCATAACAAAATGGAGTCAACAAGATAAACAGCAAAACTGATTTAGGGAGTACTTAAGGCTAACGGTTTGTTTGATAGAAGAAAAAATATTTTTCGGGGAGTCAAACAAACCACCTTCCCCTTTCCAGCACTTTGCCCTGCCTTCCCTCCCGCACCTTGCCGGCCTTGCCCCACCTTCCCTCCCGCGCATTCCCCCGCCATGCCCGCACCTTAAAGTTTCCCCCCCTTCCCGCACATTGCCCCGCGTTCCCTCCCGCACCTTGCCCCACCTTCCTCTGCCTTGCACACCTTCCTTCCCCTGCATTCCCCCACCATCCGCTGCGTTCAATCCCCCACCTTCC